TGCCTTGTACTTGGTAAGCAGGCTCTCTACCACTTGAGCTACATCTCCAGCCCCAGTCCTGGAAATTCTTGCCTTCATTTTACAGATACCTGCTTCATATGTCAACATTGACATAGGGACCATAGTATTCTTTCCTCAAACATTTGTCTTCCAGTTCTCTTTCCTCTCAAGCTCTGCAAACTGAGTTCACTGAAAACAAAATGCTAAAAAGGTTTTAAGTACAAAATGGTTAATGTTGGGTTTGGTGAAGTAATTTCTGATATCAACTTTCTTAGTTAAGCCAAGATCAAGAAGGATGAGGAAGAATTCAAAATATAATATGAGATAAGTAGTTAAACTCAAGCAATATGAGATAATAAAAACAAGATATAGTCCAAAAGTTAATCCTAAATTTAAATCCCTGCCTCATTTAAACACTAGCCTGACCTTGAAACATGGAAGAGGTTCTTTACCTGAGCACACTGTACAGGTGGTGTATAGCCAATGCCAGTTTTAGCTGCCTCATGCTGCACTGCTCAGTATACGTACATATGTGTGTGTGGTTTTGTTTCTATTTATTTATTTGTGCCTGATGTCACTGAGTAGCATCACCAGCCTATGTACTCTTAAAATGGTGTCTCTTAAATTGTATGGCACGTTCCCAATTTCTTTGAGAATAGGAGGGTTGGAACTTTGATTCAGTGTGTGTGCACACATATACACACATACGCACATACACAATTTAAGTGCTCCTAAGTACGAAAAGCTATTATATGTCACAGCATTGTTGATACAGTGGGATTAGAAATTAAGAAATTTTTCATATTGTTAACAAAGATTGGCTATTAACCTTAAGAAATATGTTTTGAAAGCAAGAAAGCACAGTGACCATATCCATGCATTCATCTTCCTCTTTTGCTAGCTCAAATGCAGACTGCACACATTGATTCCAGTGTGTTTGTAATCTAGCTTATAAACATTAAAACCAAAAATGTTTAAATTCTAATGTCTGCTAGCAATGAATATGTAACTACTTCAACTGTACCAAAATATGTAAAAAACAAAACTTTAAAATACCACTATCAAATTCATATGTATTCAAACCAGCAATGAAATGCCCAAATAGTTTGTTACCTTGAGCAAAATATAAGAAAATAAAGACACAATAGCTCTAAATCCTTTGTAACTTTCAAGAAGAGAGAAGAGTATATCTGAGAAATTTCTTTGTTTTAATGGAATTGAACATTTACTTCCTCCCTTCCACAGTAATCAAAGCAAATATTTTGTTATTACTCTTGGTATATCAAACTAAATTCAAGGAATGTAATAAAGTCTGACTTGGAAATGTTACATAGAAAAAAACTGAATTAACAAACACACTGAATTTTTAAAAAGTTTTTCTCACAAGTATCCATTGATATCTATTTATCTGATAGCAGCACTGCTGGTTTTCTGTTGTTTTTGTTTTGCTTTTCCTTAGAGGGAATGTAGAATGGCAGTATTATCTTTGGAACAAATTAAGATAGTAACAAGTAATAGAAGAATAACTTCTACATATATATTCTTCAAGGGCAATAAATAGATAAGTATATAATTATGGAAAATATGTCTCAAATATGTTTTTTAAAAATTGTTCAAGGTTTATTGTTTTGTTTTTTCAAAGTAAAATACAATGCACTGTGACTATTATCTGTCTGGGAAAAATAAACCTTGAGGTTTGAGTTTTCTCCTTCAACAGAGTGATATCAAGAGTAAACTTGGATTGAGGTCAACCTGCTCAAGCCAACAGAGAGTTCTGTAGTACATCTGATTACCAATGTACACGTATTCTGTGTTGTAATCAAGAGACTCACGAAATATTTTATATCCAAGTTTTATATCCCAGATAGGTTCTCTGGTACTTACCATGCTAACACAGGACATCTGAAGAAATAACAAATTGTATAACATAAACAGACATGCAATATAGAAGGACAGAAAAAGTATAGCTTGGCCCTGGATTTTTTTTTCTCTTAGAATAATTCCTTCCACAGATAAGACATTAGTTTTTACATACAGACTCTTCCTATAACTGGTTTTGGATCATGGAGAAAGTTAATGACATAGCTTAATAAAATCCACACCACATGTTTTGTAGTCTTTCATCACCACCAGACCACAAGAAACATTATCTAATTGGTTGCTCACGTTGTGATGCTCTTAAATACACAAATTTACTGAGGCTTAGAATGTAAATCATACAACTACTTGCAGCAGCAACAGTCTTTTAAAAAATGACTAAAACGAATTCAAAATACAAAGCATATAAAAAGGACTATTAAGGATAGTTTTCCAAACTATATCTAGAAATACAGGAAAATATGTCTTGCCTCATAATAAAGTTAAATAAATATTCTTTCTGAATCCTATAAACACTATAAGATGTTTTAGGTTTATTTGGTTCTCATAAGTTAAAAAAATCTGATTGCCTTTACATAATTTCCTTCAAACTCTTATCTACGCTCAGACTTATTGTTTTTTCACTAGACTCAGAGATTATCTCTAACTTTCTTTTAGAAATGTGCTTTTTGTTTTAATAAGTATACTTAATTTTATAGCAATAAACATGATTTAAAATTTAAGGTTCAAGGTAATTCTAGAAAAAGGTAGACATTGAACTATCTGCTTTCTACATCCTCATATTTACAAGGCCTACAATCCACTGTCATCTCCTCACTTATCATGCTGTTAATAAATACTAACTATGGTCCAGGTTACCTATTTAGAGATTTCAAAATTCCTCAAAATTTCCTAATACTACAAAGTCATTAATATCTGATTTGGAAAGGTTATAAGTATTAGTGTTGTGTAATTTTTTGCTATTGGAAAAGAAACACAAATCTTTATTTTTTTCAATCTAAATTGAATCCAAGCTCCATTATCAGTTCTCAAGATAGTATCTAAAATGTACACTACTAAAGAAAGGTAAAGCTGACCAACGGCTGAACCACTCCAATATACAATTAAAGATTCTTTATTCCTGCTAGTTTTTGTCTCCTCCCCCCGCCCCCACTCCCCACTTTTAAATCCCTATATTAAACCCCTGGTTTCTCATGGATTAGATCATAATTTAACATTGTAAAAATTTCGGAACCTATTGTGCTAATATTTAGATTTCAGAAAGGAATCAGACTAAGTCAATTACCTCCATTCATTGTTAGAACAGAAGACAACATAGCTTACTAACTGATGAGTTATGAATGTCACTATGACACAAAACATGCTGTGATTTGCTCATCTGACTACAACTGCAGTACTTTTCATGGATGACAACACACAGCATTTCCAACTTGTAACATGAAACTCCAGCTCATAGAGTGCATTGTGTGACTTGAAAAAGTCTGATTGTAACAAAGTAACAACCTTTCCCCTGAAAAAGCATGAACAAAATCCATTGGGAAATCAGGCACAGACGGTATTTATCATTTTTCTTCCTTTTCTCCTGTTTTGTTTCTCAACACATATAGGCATTCCAACAGAAGCCAACATTTGTTACAAAATGACACAGCTGTTTTTTTCCTTTTCTTTGTCTTTATCCTTTTCCCGAACTTCCTTTCGTTTACGTTCACTATTTGCAGATTGTCTTCCACCTGATGGAGAGGCTTGTGCTGGCTGAGCTGGCTTTAAAAGAAAAACACCCGGGAAGAAATCACTCCGACTGTTCTAAGTACTTAATCATAGTTGTCTAGAGAAAAACATCACAAGAGTGAAAGACACAATTAAGGGGAAAGAAGCTACTGGTATATAGATTTGTTACATTACAGAGAATCTGAGTACTTTCTTCTAGATATAATTCATTAATGTATTTGTTGTTCCAAATAAATGGAATGTCTAGTGAACAAATCACATATAAGTATCTGATTTAAGAAATATTTCTTAAAGTTTGAAAAATATTAAAGAAAGTGACAACTTTTGGTAAACTGATAGTTCTTTAAGACTTCATTAAATACTATAATAGGGTTGGAGGTATGGCTCAGGTGGTGGAGCCCTTTTCTAGCAAGTGCGAGGCCCTGAGTTCAAGCCACAGTACTGCCAAAAGAAAAAAAAAAAAAACAACTAACTATAGTAAAGGCATCTTAACAGGAGAAAAAAATCCTGAGAACTGAAAGTGTAAAATAAGTGTATTCTGTGAAATCACAGAACTTTCTGAGTGAAAAGCTATTTATAACATGGTAGGATTTAACTATTAAGCTTGGGGTAGCTAACATTTGATCTAGAAACTTAAATTTTACACTTATTTTACTGGGAAATTTATTTTCATAAGACCTCAAAAGACATCATGCTTTCTTGTATACCCAAATCAAAAGGAACACTTTCGCATGGAACAGATAACATAAAAGGGAGAATATTTTTTATTTAATGATATGATATTCAACATATAGAAATCCATGTAAGTCATCTTTTCAGTGCTTAAAATGTTAACTGAGTAAAACGAAAAGAAGAAAGGTCCTACCCTTGAATACTTAGTATATGTCAGAAATTTGGTTAAGTGCTACCATTACTTGTTCTTCCCCTGAAACCTAAGAGTTAAGTATTATCTTCTATTTTTCTGAAAGTGCAAATGAGGCTATGGGAGGCAGAGGACTTTGTCCACGGTGTTGCAACTAGGACAGGGAAACAGGCCCAAAAAACGCAAAGCCACGTCTCTCTGCGTCATCATCTGTATTCTTTCCAGTAGTAACTCAGACTGCCTTGAGCTCATAGAAAGCATGGTGTTCAGTTTGATTTATTTTGTTACAACATTAAAGAAAATAATTTGAAAACTCTTCATATCAAAACCTCTATAAATATAATTTTACTAAATGAGAAATATATTCAGATAGCCATAAACTTAGGGCAATGTAAAAATATCCATAGGTGCTAGGATGCTAACATAGCTGAAGTGACAATAACTAATTAAAAAATTTTTTTTTATCTCAAGCAGAGATATTTTTCTTGCTAAAGTGACCTCTGTATTTAAGAATCACAGCACTGCTTTTTACCTGGGCCTGTGTAGAAGCAGCGGCTGCAGCTGCTGCTGCCTGCTCTTGTTCCTGATAGTACTGGGAAGCCCGCCTATCCTCTTCCTCTTGCAGCTTCTTTGCTAGTTCCAAGTCACTGAGTCCTTCTGGGATTTGTTCCCAATTGATCTCTTGACTCTGCTGCTCTTGTTGTAGAGATAATGCCATGAGATAGTCCTAAGGAATTGAATTATAACCATTTTAAGTTCTAAGAACTAATGAATGCAAATGAGAATGGTTCTTTAAAAAACATACAAGAGCTTAATGTTTTAGGCCAGCCTGGACCCAAAAAACCAAAACAAACAAACAAAATAAAAAACCCAAAAGAATTTCTCCTATTTACAAAAGAAACACATGCTTGTATAAAATGCAGACAAAACAGGAAGCCACAAATATTAAGTTTAGCCAGGCATGGTGGCTCACCCCTATAATCTCAGCTGCTTGGGAGGAGGAGATCAGGAGGATTGAGGTTTAAAGCTAGCCTGGGCGAAAAGTTAGAGACCCCATCTCAAAAAATAAGCGAGAGTGATGGTGCACCTGTGATTCCAGCTACATGGGAGGAATAGGTAGGCAGTCTGAGACCAGCTTGGGCAAAAACAGTGAGACCCTATGTGGAAATAACTAAAGCAGAAAGGGCTGGAGATGTGGTTTAGGTGGTAGGGGGCTTGCCTAGCAAGTGTGAGGCCCTGAGTTCAAATTCTAGTACTAAATACAAAAACCTTTAAATCACCATAATATTTTTATGCAGAGATAACTCTTGCTAACAATTCACAATTATCTACCTAATATTCTTCTACATTCACAAACCCAAACACATCTCCCATCCTATAAAACTATGGAAATCTGCTTTCTTATCCATTTAATGCCATAAAAGTTTTCTATGAGAAAAATTCTAAGAACTTTTCAAGTTTACTCAATTTTCTTCCAAAAGATGGAATTTTTATTCATTTGAGTATTCATTTGATTTGAGACAGAGTCTTGCTATGAAGCCGAGGTTGGCTTTGAATTGGCAATCCTCCTGTCTCAGTCTCCTGAATGCTGGGATTATAGCTGTATGCTCCCATGCCCAGCCCAAAAGGTGATTTTTAAGCAAACTTAGCTAGCTATAATACAGTCAAATTTAATTACTTAACCACCTTACTCCTCCTACCATGTACACATGTAGATTATTTCCTATGAGAAAAAGAACTTGGCCAGAAGTTCTGCTATCTAACTTAATAACCACTTTATTAAGAGTTAGTGCTGAATGACATTTGATGGCTCTGTATACTCTCAAGCTCCCATCACACTCAAAATAAGAGAATGTAAGTAACTTAGAGGACATGCAAAAGGTCATTGCCTATGATGACCACACACACACACACACACACACACACACACACACACACTACATCATAGCACAACTGTCTTACTAGTGTCAAGAATTTTTCCTCTGTCCTTCAAGGTCTGCTCTTCAAACTTGGTGATCTTCCACCTGCTTGCACAGACACCAATCACGATGCCTTCTAACTGGCCCACTGTGATAACCTACTGCTTTGCTCTCACTCCCTCCACTCCAGCATGCTTTACATACAGTGGCTATAGAAATTCTACACTTCCTCCACTACTGTAGCATCGTGGAGGAAGAGCCTGAATGATTTCTAATCCCAAGATGACTTACTTATAGTTCAGGAATACAACAGCTCATTGAACAGTGGCCAAATGAACAGTTCAATTGTTATGGGCAAAGTGTCAGTTGTCTAACATAACCACACTCATGCCTCAATCATGAATCTTCATGTCACTGCCATACTTTGAGTATTAACATATTGTAGCTCTGAGCCTGCCCACCTACTGTAGGTAAAAACTTCACCTGTCTCAGTTCTATGTGAAGTTGTGCTCACTAGTGCAGCCCCTGCAATAAGTGTCTGCTATTCTTTACCTTGGGCTCTAAGGTTACAATACCCATCTACTTCTTCTCTGTTTCTTTTTTTTTGATGGTACCTGGGTTTGAACTCAGGGATTTGTGCTTGCTAGGCAGGTACTCTACTGGTTGAGCTACACCTCCAACCCTTTTAGATCCAGTGTGTTCCATCTTATGGACTTCCTCTTTACTGTTTTTTCTGACTACTCAAGTTATGTCTCAAGTATGTGCTCATCTCTTCAGCTCTGCCACCCACAGCTAAGCCATCATCACTTCTTTCTTGGATTGCTGGTCTCTCCGCTTGTACCTGGGTTCGTCAATGCACCCTTCACTAGTGGTCTTTTTTTATAAAATGAAGAAGCCAATCGTGCCACTTCCATATTTAACACTCATCAGAGCTCTCCTACTGCAACTAGAGCAAAACTTAAACTCCTTACCATAACCTTCACAGTTTAGTGTGATCTGGTTTTCAGAACTAAAGTGTGTAACTAATGTACACAGACACGATCAGTTCCTTTTCAGGAAGTGTCAGGAAAATCTCACAAATTAATGAATGAATCAAAAGTTTTAGATAACTGAATTGACATTTGTGAAGATTATGCTTTTCTTTTTTCCCTGAGACAGAATCTGGTTCTGTTGCACAAACTGGCCTCAAATTTGTGGGCTCAAGCAATTCTCCTGCCTCAATCTTCAGAGTAGTTGTAAGTTAAGAAAATGCATTCTAGACAGTATGAGCAAAATAAAACAAATTTACCTGATCTATCTGATCTTGCTGTCCTTTGTATACAGTTTCAGGATCTGAAGGAGGCCGAAGATGAAATTCTGAATCACAGAAATTTCCATCACCATCTACATTGTGTAGGCTTTCCCAAACAATTTTTTCTTCTGTAAGAAACCCCTGGTCTGTTACCAACAAATACAACTGACCCTTAATAAGAAATGACAACAAAAAAGGAGTGTTAATTCATCAAAAGTAGCTAACATATTTAAGGGAAAAAATTTTTTTGGTGGTACTGGGGTTTAAACTCAGAGCTTTGTACTTGCTAGGCAGGTGGTTGGGGCATGCCACCAGCCCTTACTTAAGGAATAATTTTAATCTGCACATTTAAAGTATATTAATTATGTTTATCAGATCAGTACAACATATATAATATATTTGTTGCTTTGAATGTAGCTTATAATTAGTACACTACAATATAATAAGAAATAAGAGTTCTTGGCATACTCAACTAATATGTGACTTATAAACAGCTTTGCGGGGTTTGTGATAGCATTTCTCAAAACAAAGCAAAAGTACTATATATAAGTTCCTGAAAAAAAAAACAACAGGTAATAAGTAGGAAAGAGTTGCCAAAAATGCTACCATATTGCCTGGTTTTGTTTGCTTTTTAAAAATTAAACCTATATGACTCATCTAATCCATACCAATTTTCCTTTCTCTCTATTATTGCTCTTGCTTTGTACACCAAACTATTTTGCACCTAGTTCTATTACACCACTAAATCACCTGGCACTGTTAGTTTTCTTGTCTTCTTCTACAGACTCTATTTTTCTTTTATGTTTTGGTTCTGGGGATTCAATGTAGAGCCCACTGGACTACATCCCCCAGCTCTAAATTATATCCTAATATATGGTACATTCAGTCACAACCCCAGAACCTAGGACTGACCTTTAATTTTTTTATATGCATTAGTTCTGCCTCCAATCATCTGTAGAATTTACATCCCTGGCATACCATGATGGGCTGTGAGCCATTTTTTCTCTTCAAATTTACTGAGGATATTACATTTTGATATCTGCTTGTAGTTCTTACTGGTTAATATAGTGTTTATTATTGCTCAAGGATCATACCTTTGGAGGCTGGGGTGTAGTTCAAGTGGTAGAGTGCTTGCCTAGCAAGTGAAAGGTCCTGGGTTGAATCACCAGTACTTGGGGATGGGGGGAGGATCATATCTTTCATTTCTCTCTCCATTATGTTCATTCTCTCTCTCTCTCTCTCTCTCTCTCTCTCTCTCTCTCTCTCTCTCCCTCCCTCCCTCCCTCCCTGTCTCCCCCCCCCCCTCTCTATTTCCCAATCTGGAAGTTCTGGGGTTTAACTCAGGGCTTTGTGCTTGCTAGCACTCTACCAGTTGAGTCATGCCCTAGTCCTTTCTTTTTTTCTGTATATATTTATCTCTATAAATTTGAACAATACCATTATGTCCACAGCAGCATTATGTTCCTAAACTGCTTTGCTCTTCTACTCTTTGCTGCACTTACTTAACAAAGCCCCAAAAGTACAATGACAAATGAGGTACATTCTTCATGCCTGCACTCTGATGACTACGAATGTAGAAAAATCATAAAAGTGGCACAGTCATTTAGGAAAAATTTGGTGGTGATGGGATTGAATCCAGGGCCTGGCACAAGCAAGGCAAGCACAGAACTCATATGTGTGAGGCCCTGGGTTCCATACCCAGCACTGTAAAAAGCAAAACAAAACAACAACAACAAAAATTCACTACCCTCAGCAGTGCCCTGTAATGCTTCCTGAATTTTATTGTCCTAGTGTTGTTCTTTCAGGTTCTCTAAGAACTTTTTGTTTTGTTTTTCATTGACACAGGGTCTCCCTCTCTAGCCCAGCTTAGCCTTGAACTTGACTCAAGAGATCCTCCTGTCTCAGCCTTCTGAATAGCTGGGACCATGGGTGCACTGCTACCACACCTGGCAAGGACTGTTTTCTTTTTTGAAACATAGTTTCAATATGACAGCCAGACTGGCCTTAAACTCATGATCCTTCTGCCTTAGCCTCCAGAGTGCTGGGAATATAGGCTTGTGCCACCATGACCAGTTTAACTTAAGAACGATTTTTAAACTTTGCTTCTTCAAATCCAGAACCATACCTTCTCATACCTACTCAGGCTCAATAAATGATCTTGCCCTCCACTTAACAGAGAAAACAGAAGCATCCCCAAACAGTACCTTTCTCTTCCTGCCATCAAACTGACAAAAGTGTATACCTAATCTATTCCTTTCCTTTATAATGGAGAGTTAAAATCAAAGGTCAATCTTCTATCCTTTTTTTCATCTTCCTAGGAACTTTCTAACATCAATTATCCCCTCTCCTGAATCTTCAACGTTTTCCTGTCTGTTGAGTCATTCAATGTTTAAACATGATCAAGTCTCTCCTATTAAAAATAAAAAAGTTAGGTGCATTGATGTGTGCCTCTAGTCCTCTAGGAGGCTGAGGTGGGAGGATTGCTTGAGCCCACGTGTTTGAAGCTAGCCTGGGAAGCATAAAGAGGCTCTGTTTCACCCCTCCATGGTTCCATATTTACTAAAGCTATGAGCCAACATGTCTATAAGAGCATTTGCCTATATATTCTTTCTACTCCCTGACATTGCAGTCAGGTCTTAACCAACTCTATTTGGGTTCTCCCCTGTTGGACTCTTCTTCCTTTCCATCCCTAGTGTTCTTATCTTACCTATTTTTCCAACGGTACTTTACTGCAAGTTCCATCTTTCCTGAAACATTCTTTCACCCTTAGCTTCCCAAACACATTATTCTTTAGTTTTCCTCTTGTTCTCTTCTTTCTCTATCTGCAGTGCTGGTTCTTACTCCTCTAGTTTGTCTTTAAATGTTGGTACTCCTCACATCTTTATCCTAGGCCTTGTCTTTTCTTCTGATTCCACATTTTCCTTGCAAATCCCCAAATTACAATATTTCTCTTATAAAACCCCAATTTCTATCATTATACCAAAGTTCTTGCAGAACTGAACCATTTACCCCATATTTTCACTTGGAGGGATGCCTCAGAAGGACCTCTAACAGCTACAGGCTGATCTCATGACATTCTTCTCTTCTGTTTCAATAAGGAGAAATACCACTAACACAGTACCCAAATTTTTCAAGTCCAATCGCCAAATCTGGCTGATTATATCTCCTAAATGTCTTTGAAATCTGTCTACTCTCCACTTCTTTACCATTCTAGTCCATAATCTCTTCCATTACTTGCAACAGTCTTCTGAGTTCATATTTACTCTTGCCTCAATGTGCAGAGCACCTTAATGTCATACAAGGAGCAAGGAGATAACAACACGAATGATATGCTGTTTAGCCACAGAATAAGACTTATTGAGAACATCTTGGGAACAGAGAAACAGAAGAAAGCAAACATTTCCTAGGCTACTACTATCTCATAGAAAGGCATGCTTAATCCAGACACAGAAACCCTCTCTTCAACCATACAAGAATGCTGGGAATACTGAGCTAACTGATGAAGGACTTCCCACTTGGGGATTAAGTCCTTAATGGAAAAGAGAGCATTGGGAGTTCAGTTTTGGGGGATTGTATGACAACCACCAATGACAGCCAAAGACCTTGTTTTTCCACAGAACTACTTTATTCTTGCTCACTCTTAGGCCACAAAGAGAACAAAAAGAACTACTAGGGCCATGAAGGTTAGTTTCTTCTCTTAACTCAAGTCTCTACAAGATAGATGCCTGGGTATCTACTTAGCTTTACATCAATGCCTCTTATTTACTAGGCTTCAGCCTCATGGACTTTCTTTTAATTCTGTAAGGAGTGTAAGGAGTCAAGCTCTTTTCCTTCTCAGGGCCTTTGTATACATGTTGCATCTACTTAGTTAATCCTTTTTATTCTCCCCTAACTGATTAAATTCCAGAAGATTCATTTTTTAGGTTTCAGGACTTTTTGTTTTCCTTTTTGTAGTGCTGGGGATTTAACCCAGGGTCTCAAGCATGCTAGGCAAGCATTCCACCACTGAGCTACATCCCTAACCCTCCAGTTTCAGTGTAAATGTGATCTCCTTAAGGAAGTCTTTCCCAACATGCCCCAAAGCACTCACAGCTTGTTGTGTGCATCCTTTACAGAAAGTATCTCAATAGAAATAAACTAATAATTATTTAACTTTTATCCCTTGCCAAATTTGAAGGTACTTAAGTGGAAGACCCCACAACTATCTTACTCGTGGCTATAGTGCCAGCATTTAGTTGAGCTTTGTTAAATAAATGGATAAATTCTAGACTTGGAAAAGTGAAGTAAAGCAGAATGACTTAGCAGTATTTGCTATGTGGCAATAATTCTGATTTTGACATCCTTTGGCCTTAGGTTTCTGAGTAGTGTGGATGGCTGTTGGCCCACATCTAGCACATACCTAGCTAGAATGATGAAGCAATACAAATGAACTCTTACTATAACTAAGAGACTGATAGGAGAGTGAGAGCTTTAGTAAACAAACAAAACATTTTATACTATTCTGTGTAATTCACTGGTTAAAGCACTGAAGGAAATATGAAGATGTGACTTATGGCTTGAATAAGCTATTTTCAAAGTACATGGAAAGTGAACTGGTCACCAGGTACTAAATAAGGATATGTGGCCACTAGCTAGAGGGTGACAAGAGCAGTGGTCTTCAATCTCAGATGTACATTAAAATCACCTCTGGAGCATTTAAAAATACTGATGCAGGACTTGGGTGTAACACAGTGTTGAGTACAAAAAACAAAAAAACTGATGCTCAGGTCCCAGCTCCTCCAGAGATTCTAATTTAATTGAGTTAGTGGTAAGTTCTGGGCATTCATACTTTTAAAAATCTACTCAGGCAGTTCTAGCAGACAATCTGAGTTCAGAACCACTGGTTTAAGGAGAAAAGAGGAACCTTTACTATTTGGAATGCTTCTTAAAGGATGGGTAATATTTGATTATACAAAGGTAGTGAGAAGAGCTTCCTAAATAGAGATTAAGGAGAAAGAAGAATGGCAATAACTGTGGAAATAAGAAAGTATAAAATGTGTCTGTGGATGAGGATTATCAGTGAGTAGGCACCATCATGGCTGAGGCAGTGTTGATACAGGGAAAAGCAGAACATATTTTGTATTTTTAACCTCTGGGCATGAAGTGCTATGAACATTCTACTACAGGTCTAGGTAAAAACGGATAAACTCCTGAACTAGTGCTACCTGTAAAAACAAAAGGGATAGATGCAAGAGTCAATAAAAACATTGAATGAATCAGTAAATGGGCTTTTTGTTTGTTTGTTTGCTTTTGGCAGAGCCATAAGTGGCACTGTAAAAAGTTAAAGTCACAATGATAACTTTAATATTAGCAAACACTGACATGAAGGCTTTTTTTTTTTTTTTTTTTTTAAATATAGGGTCTTGCTATGTAGTCCATGCTGGCCTGGAACTTGCAATCCTCTTATCTTACCCTCCCAAGTAGCTGAGATTATATTATAGGCATGCACCACACTGCACCCATTTTAAGGCAAATTTAATTTCTGATCTCCTTTAGTCTCAAGTATAAACACCCATCATTAGAAGTCACTACAGCCTATTATAGGAGATTTTCCTTCTTTTAGGAAATTATAAATACTATCTATTTATCTATTTATTTACTGGGGCTTGAACTCAGGGTCTCACATTTGCTAGGCAGGCACTCTACTATTTGAGTTACCCCGCCAGCCCTTTTTTGTGTTGAGAATTTTTAAGATAGGGTCTCTTGAACTATTTGCCTGGGCTGGCTTCAAACAGTGATCCTCCTGATCTCTGCCTCCTGAGTAGCTAGGATTTCAGGTGTGAGCCACAGGCACCAGGTGAAATAAGTACTATCTAGCTGTGCAAGGTGATACATAACCATGATCCCAGCACTCAGGAAACTGAGGCAGGAGGATTGTGAGTTTAAGGCCAGCATATCAAGACCCTGTCACAAATAAAATAAAATGAAATAAAAACTGCCCACAGCATACCACTCTGAATGCACCTAAGCTCATCAAAATAATAAATATGTAAGTACTTGACAATGCGTAATCTGTGAAAAAGAAGTTGAAACTTAATTTGGAAACAAAAACTGGCCAGAGGATCACAGTTCGAATCCAGCCCAGGCAAGTAGTTAGCAAGACTGTGTCATGAAAATACCCAACACAAAAAAGGGTTGGTGGAGTGGCTCAAGTGCAGAGCACCTGCCTAGTATGTATGAGGTCCTGAGTTCAAACCCAGTACCACCAAAAGAACCAAAACCAAAACCTGATTCAAGGTAATACTTCAATTGCTAATCAGTTGCAGACAAAGATATAATTAACTTCACAATTTGATGGTTAAGAAGTATTATGCTAAAATCTTCTGTTTTTAAGCAGATCAAAAGACATTTCTAAATCAAGTTCCTTTGATTTGGGATAATAATTAAATAGCTGTATCTATATCATACCTTGTATTTGGTCATGGTGCTAAAATGATTATTCCGAAAAAACACACAAAGTTCTCCTTCCTGAACCGTTGAAGTTAGTTCACACAATCCATGGTATGTCAGTTGAGTGGCTGTGTTATTTAGAAACTGCTCCGCAACAAAGCCTATAGAACCAATGCATAATATTAGATGGAAGAACAATTTCAAAATTAAGTATTTATTTTTGTCCTATTTGTACATTGTTGTAAATGTGTAGAAAGGCCAATTAATGTAAGACTTTTCCTCTTATATGATGGCCCCAAATTGGAGAATCATCTTTCTAATTTTTCTATGGAAGTTGTATCTAAGGTCATTCCCATCTTAGACAATTATGTGAAGTACTTTTTTAAATCAATAAATGTATTTACTTACACTTTATCTACCAAAAGGATTTCAGGCAGTTTACAGTAAGCAACACAGGTACAATAAAACAAAAAAAATTATTAAATTAAAAAGAGTTAACAATTTTACTTATTTATTTATATTTTCTATTTTTTTCTTGGCACTGGGGTTTGAACTCGGTCTCATGCTTGCTAGGCAGGGGCTCTTAACCACTTAAGATACTCTGCTAGCCCCAGAGTTAGCAATTTTAAAAACTGGGTAGAAGAGAAAGATTTATGACCAACAGCTACTTTCCCAATGGCTAGGGGTTTAGGAATAAACAATTGCCTTACATTGAGTTGCTTAAGATTTTAACAAAGATGCTAGATAATTCTCAAGTCATAAACTGCTCAGTTCTTGCCTTAAAACTGCAAGCAGGCATTAAGGCTAAAGAGAAAGCAGTGGGATAAGTGATGACATTTTTACCCTAATCTCCTCCAACAAATGCCACTCATTACATAGTCGTATCAAGTTGAAAAATAGAAATGATCTCTTTTGTGTCTGAAACAGAATTATTTCTATGCACATTATCTGTGGGTTAATTAACATGTATGCAAAATTGATCCTCATTTCCTGCAAGTTCATGTTTGTGACTTCATGTGCTAGGCTAAGTTACTTATAAATACTCCCAAATCAGTATCTACAGCACTTTCATAGTGCTTATGAACAGCAGAAGATAGGCATAAAATTCTGATTGCCCAACATGCACATTTTCAGCAGAGGTCAAACAAGGCAACATTCTGCCTTCTTCTTTCATTTCTCATGCCATAAACAAGTATTCTTTTCATGGTCCATTTACTGCCATGTTTCCCACATTTTTGTGCTTTATTTGTTTTTGTTTTTGTTGGTGCTGGGGACTGAACCCAGGGCCTTCTGCATGCTAGGCAAGTATTCTACTATTTGAGTCATGATCCTAGCCCTATCTTTGTGCTTTTTGTTGGAGACTTTTCTGTTTGAAATGTCCTCCACAGAAGAGTGAAGTGCTGGGAAGTGTTCCTAACTACACAAAGGCTGTAATGTGTCTGTTGTAAAAAATACATGACTACTAAGCTAAGTTTAGGCATGAGTTGTAGTGTTATTGGTCAAAGAATTAACAATATATCGTAAATAAGGTACCTTAAAATACACATACTCATAAAGCAAGGTTACTGAATGGCTCACAAAAATGTTGAGACCAGACACTCACAAAAATCTAACTCTGTATCTCCTCTAGGAGCCATGGTTCAGCATTCTGAACAATGAATTCATTGTTCATGGCAACGCCACAGAATGGAGTTACTGCAAATAATGAGTCAATGGTTTACTTTGAAATCAATATTTCTCTCTCTCCTCTCTCTGTCTACTTTTACTCTGACTTAGTAAGGAAGCAATATCTCAGGAGCAGTATGAAGAGAGGTTGCTCTAAAAAGTTTTTTAAGTGAGCTGAGAGGTTCAGACACAGGGAGAAGTATTAATCATGCTGCTGGCTCATGCCTGTAATTGTGCAATTCTAGTTACTTGGAAGGTTGAGATCAGGAGGATCACAGTTCCAGACCAGTCTGCATAAAGAAAAAAAAAAAAAAAAGCTGGGTGTGGTGGCTTGTGCTTGCTATCCAATTAATGGTGGGAAGCATAAAATAGAAGGGCTGCTGTCTAGGCCAGCCTGGGAAAAGAGCGAGACCCTGTCCCCAAAATAACCAGAGCAAAATGTGCTGAAGCATGGCTCAAGCAGTAGAGCACCTACATGGCAAGCATGACCCTGAGTTCAAACCCAAGTACTGCCAAAAATAAGTAAATAAATTTAAAAGAAATGAACACCTTAATAATAAATGAAAATAGGCTTGGTGCCAGTGGCTCATGCCTATAATTCAAGCTACTTAGGAGGCTGAGATTGGGAAGATCACATTTTACGGCCAGCCTGGCAAATATATTCTCCAAAATAAAGCAAAAATGAACTGGAGGTTGGCTCAAGAGGTAGAACACCTGCTGATTTACTAAGGGTGAAGCCCTGAGTTCAAATCCCAGTTGGAAGGAAGGAAGGAAGGAACAAAACTTGGTAGGAATTTGACAGGGCCAGAAGCAGGTGATAATGTAAATTTATTTCACTTCCTTTCCATTCCTTGGTGTCAAGCCATAGCACTTCAAACTGCAAAGTGGTTGTAAAACATTACCAATACAGCACACTATTCCAAGGACTTGGTTAAGGTAGGACTAGTACAAAAATAACAAAGGAGACTATAACCAAAGAAAATTTATAGCACACACTTGCAACTTCTTGTGTTTATTTATACTCCCATTATAGTTACTTTGTTAAGTACCAAGGAGTAGAAAGTACTGAAGCTTTTTATTATTATGTAACATTTTAAAAGGAAACACTCCCCAGTAAGGTCAAAGAAAACAAAAAGGACACATTATGCCTGCCCTGAAAAGCACCACTCCTGTCTTATCTATGCTGCTGAGTGCTTGCTTCAGACAGATGTTTCTATAGGCCCTTCCATACCTCATTCCCACAATATTCTCTCCACAGATTCCTTTCAAAAAGTACAAAAATTCAGTGGAGATATAATTACTTTCATGTTAGCGTGAAATCCAAAAATTTCACATTACAAAGGTCTTTCTCAGCTGTTTCTTATTACAGATCAAGAAATAGGCTCACATAAAATGAATGACTTGACCAAGGACTCAAACTAGTTATGGCAAAGTGAAGACTGGAACCCATAAGAATTATTATTGGTATAAACATGTTAAAAATTTAGTGCAGACTTTTATAATAAATTATGACTGAATTATATATCTCCCAAAATCATAACATACACCTTATTTAAAATTATTTAAAAACCTATTTTGCAGAGATGGGAGGACTGCAGGTCCAGGTCAGCCCAGGCATAAAGTTAGTGATATACTTACTATCTCAACAAGTCAGGTGTGATGGTGTACAGCTATGGGGGAGGCAGAAGTAGGAGGACTGTGGTTCCTAGGCCAACCCAGGGCAAAAATCTTGAGACCCTATCTGAAAAATAAACTAAAAGCAAAAAGGGCTGGCATCATGGCTCTGGTGGTAGAGCACTAGCCTAGCAAGCAAATACAAGGCTCTGAATTCAATTTCCAGTACTGTTAAAATAACAACAGGAAAAAACAAAAACATTATTTCCTAATTCTCCTGCTGTATCTTCAACAGTGATTTTGTTTTGTCTTGTTGGGACTGGGGTTCAAACCCAAAGCTTCACATTTGCAAAGCAGGTGCTCTTCTATGTGAACCACACCTCCTGTCCATTTGCTCTGGTTATTTTTGGAAAGAGGATCTCACAAACTGTTTACTTGAGCTGTCCTCAGCCATGATCCTCCCAGTCTCAGTCTCCCAAGTAGCTAGGATGATAGGCATGAGCTACTATATTCAATAGTGATTTTAGTAGAATACTTAAAAGGTTATTCTAGGTTCAACCTTCCATAACTAATTGAATAAATTTTAGCATACAACTGTGTTAGACAGCAGTTTATTTATCTGCAATGTTTCAAATAGTACAGTGTTTCAAATAATAGAGCTTATTTGCAATACTCAGATTAAACCTCAGTTTCATGGTTACAGATAGTTTACTGGTAAGACTAAAGGCAATAAAATCCTAATACAGTGATAATAAAAAAGAATGCTACTGAAGATAAATTTAAATTAAACATTTTTTCTGACAAGATTACTGTGTTTGGAAATGTTTCCTTTTTGGATTTTTTGGAGACAGAGTATCACTATGCACCCAGGCTGGCCTCAACCTCAGCCTGCCAAATGCTGGAATTACAGGTGTGTGCCACCATGCCTGGTTCAAAAAATATTTTTTTTAATTCAGCAATAAAATAATAAATTGGTTTATCAAATTGTTTTCCTGTGTACTGAAGAGTTAATAAGAGAATATGAGCACCCTGAACATAAAAGAAGGCTGAGTTATGACAAAGACACTAAGATCAGGCAGAAAGGAAGAGAAAGCAGAAACAGCAGGGAAGGAAACTATTTAAAAATATTTCCTAGATGTGGCCCTTCCTGAGAATGTTGGTCAGAATTTGTTATTGTGACAGCTTTAAGCAAATGATTTTTTTATACTTTCAAGTTTCAAAAATCAAATACATTATGTTAATGTATTTTTTCCCTTGAGGGGACAGGCAAAATCAATCTCTTCTTAAAATTTTTTTTCTGGCACTGGGGTTTGAACTCAAGGCCTACACCTTGAGCCACTCTATCAGCATCCTTTCACCCCTTTTTTGTGATGGGCTTTTCAAGATAGGTCTAGCCTGGGGCTGGCTTTGAGCCACGATCCTTCTGATCTCTGTCTCCTGAGTTGCTAGGATTACAGGTGTGAGCCACCAGCCACCTGCGCCCCAGCCCCTGTCCCCTGGCCCCCAGCAAACAATCTCTTCTAACATGACAAATGCTCAGATTTTCTTTTAAAAGACAGAGACTTATACAATTCTGGGGAAGCATAGGGAGCCCAGAACATCTTACTGTGCCAAGTCAGGAAATACTCAAGGAATGATGAGGACATACTGAAGAACATGGAACCCAGCCTGTGGGCATCCTAATGGCCATATTTGGAAGAACTGAAGTGTCAAAAAGAATAATGATGATAATGGAATCAATCACTCTGATTATAAATGAATCCATGAGTTTTTATTGCTATAAATTTGTTTTAAATGAAGAAAGAAGATGAGAAGGGAAAACTATTTTCATTTTTTAAAAATCCAGTTCTGGGAATCAAACCCAGGACTTTGTGCATGTTAG